CTATTATCCCGTTGCATTAATCTGTGGTGTCCTGTAGAGTTTTTTTCTATATGAATTCTGTATCATTATTCCACTATTGTTATTTTTGAATGTAGAAATATGTTTACTTGCGTACAGATTATCTCCTCATCATCTGGAATCATACTAAAGCATTCTTTGCGGCAGAAATGGCTGCATATATGTTTTTGTGTCACTTTGCACTTGACTTTCAGAAGTACTAAAAAGACACGACAAACTGAGTTTCCAAATTTTAAGATTGCTTTACATGAGGTTAATAGTTAAATGTACCCATCCTCCAACCATGAATTTGTAGGTTTTAGCTTTTAGAATATGATCTGCATATTGAAGGAAAACATGCAAAACTGGTTTGCTGAGCTGCAAACGTAAATCACATTGCACCCACTTTAAATACCCTCTCGGCACATACAAACATGTTTGCACCTGTATTAAGAGATGCAAACCTTCTAGAGATCAGATCTTTAGTGTTTAAATGCAAGATTTTTTTTTCAAAATGCCAGCAGTATTATGTTAAAAAGTAGGTTTTCCTCTTTGATTACCAACAGTGAACTGAGGAGAGAAACCCAAGTTTGGATCAAGAAGAACCAGAGTTTCCTGTGATGAAAGAAGATGAAAACGTTGGACAAGCCAGAATATCTGCAGGTAAAAAAGGAGGAGGGTGAACTCTGCCTCAGTCACCATACAGATCACATTGTCCTAAAGCAGGATTGTGATATTTGTATTGATACACAAACTAGAGAGGAAAAAATTAAAATAATATAAAAAAATATATATTTTTCTTCATTATAAGATTTCTCATGGAGTGTTCCCTTCTGCTGATTATTTTAAAGAAAACATTTTGGATTTTCTTGCAAAAATTGTTGATTCTGCAACAACTATTTGAAAAACCTGAAAACGTACGACTTTATATATGCAAGTATCTTATGACCACATCTGTGAACTGTCCCTGTTCTTGGCATCACTGAAACATATAGTAAATGGACATGAGTGAAACTCTTTAAGATGTACAGGACCCAAATTGAACATTAATGTCATAATTTCAATCTGTTTTTATTTTTATTGGTTATTATTTTTGTTGTTTTCAACTTATTTTACTGGCAGATCATTTTTTCTGTCTTTAAAGGAAGGGTTTGTAGAATTTCAAGCACAACTGTATTATCATAGGACATCCAGGCAGCATTGCGCTTATCACTAGTTGCTGTTGTGCCATGATCGTGGTTTTGGACATTGGGAACCATCTTAACATGATAACCTGAGAAGAAGATGCAGTTTTGGCTCATGGAACAGCTGTGAGACCCCCCCCCCCCCCCCCCTTTTTTTTTTTTAGCCAAGTTGCTAAACATAGCAAACCCCTCCCAGAGGTGTGACCTGCCACCTTCCTCTGTGTTGAGAGCAGTAAAGCACACAGGTTTTTATTCTCTCTTTCCCATGAAGCTGCCTGAGGGTCCACATCGGCCACCATGGAGATCTAGGAAAAAGGCCTAGATCTCCAGAACGATCAAGGATAAGTCATGATGGGTGACATCTTCAGAACCGAACTGCTGCAAAACAGACTTTTTGCAACATATTTCTCTTGAGTTTCAGAACTTACAGTGCCAGACCGGAAGAGAAAATCTCCTGAAGATCTCTTGGTGTGAGCCGCATGAAAAAGACCCCCGTTGCTGTGAGCCTGCCTTGCTAAACTGCTGCTGGATGAAAACTCAAGCCCACCAAATGGACATGAACAGAGGTTTGCAGGTCTGACACAATTAGGGACAGAACAAACAATATGTCTTTTGATGATTGTTGGAGCCAAATGCTTAATTTATGATTGAATATTTATTATTTCTGAACGTGACATGTTTTGGTTTGAAGTATGAGTTTAATTATGAAATAATGAATTTGTTTAGTTGTATTTTTGCTGCTGTGCATAGTTTACTCTGTTTCTCGCCTCTGCCCCTTCATTACAGACAGGTGACTGCAGCACCTGAAATATATAGGAGTTGGCTATTGGGGCCGGAGGGGCTCTTGGATTCAGGCACGCAGCCATTCAGGTTTTGACCCCTATTGATTATTGTTGTTTTTTCGAGTGGTATAAAAAGGACCAAAATGAGCCGATATGATCTGCCTCTCACGTCATACTGCGGTAAGAAATTTGTTTGTTTTTTTTGGAAAATAAAGCATCTTGATCAAGAGGAAAGAAAGTTTGTTGGATTGCATGCTCACTTTAAAAAACATTTGACAGCGCTGAAGTGAGTCGAACTTTGATGCTTCTGAACCAAGAGCCACGTGATTTTGATCATTTCATGTGTTTACTGATATGAGTAAAGACAAAGCTAACAGGATGGACTGCATGCTATGCCATGTTACAGTAATATGTTTTGAGCTGTTGCTGAAGCTTTGACAAGATTTGCTTCACTAAGGGTTTAAACACTGATAACATTAGTGTTCATGTGTTTTCTCATATGCTTATTACATTTCGATTACCAAGTATGACCAAAAGTCATTTAAGGGAAACCTTCTGTGTATTTGCTGCTAGCTATTTCAAAGAGGGTACAGAATCATTTAACCAAAGGTTACTGGTTCCTGATTAAGCAAATCATTTAATAAAACATTATTTGGCCAAATAATGTTTTATTCACCTCATGGATTTGCATTGTGAATTGGTCTGAAAACATTCCAATTTCTCTAAAGTAGTGAAAAGCTAATTTGATCACATCCCAAATTCCTTGCAGATAAACTTTGGTTTTCAAACACTAAATCCATCTTAAACTGTAAAATGGTTTTCAACCACGTTTCCCCTTCCTCTTTGTACATAGTAGTTGAGATTAGTTGAGTTTCACTAGTTTTAGTTAAGAGTGTTAAAATGAAATGTTTGACTTGAAGCTGAATGATTTTTGCTAATAAACTCTTATGTTTTGAACAGAAGTTGTGGTGAATTTATTCTATATATGTGCAGAATTATCCATTTGACCATAATTTGAGCTTGAATCACTCTTTCATTTATTGCTAGTAGGGTGTGTGTGTTCATAAACAATATATTACACCCGAAATATCTGATTAAATAATATATTTACCACCCCTATCGGGTTGGGCAATAAACATCTTAAAGTATCAGAACATATGAATTCCCAGCTGCATAGGCATTGAATGTAACAGTTATGCACAACACTGCAATATGTCATATTTATGGATAATTTAATAAAATGATCTTGTATGGAGAGCCATTACATTCTAATTTAAATTAATAAATACATCAATCAATAAATTACTTAAAAAAAACAGTTTGCAACATTTTTACATTTTACTAATTAAATTTAAGATAGATTTAATTACTTCCGGATTTATCTATTTATTTTTGTTTATTTATTTATTACATAATGGAGTTTTATTTTTTTTTGACAGTCATTTTGTAACAATTCTTTACATGTTCCAGTGACTTTTATTTCTTAACCCTGTTCTTCTTTTTAAGCTTTAATATTTATTAATCTATTTTTGAGTAAAGTGAAGAAGTGGAGCTGGTGGAAAAGGGTAAATATTGCAGTGTTCACCTAGCCTGACGTAGTCAGACTCAATTCTAGTCAGAATATGAGTCTGATACTGCTCCATAGAGCTGTGATTATGGGGCGTGTTTCGAACGAACCAGGAAAAAAAATGCCTCTGCACTCAATTGGATAGACCTACAACCAATAAGAGCAACGGAGTGCGTGACGTATGTTAAGCGAGGCATAGTTGTTGTCCACAAAAATCAAAGCGTGCAGTTGCACGCCTATAATAAGATGAGACTTGATCGCGTTTCTCTGTTCCTCTTTTAAAATTAATTTGCTGTCGATATCTTCTAGAACAGACCTAATAGCAGAATCTACTCACCTAAACTCTCCAGCGGCAGCCATTGTTGTTGTCACCCAAGCGCGCATTGGTCACGTGGTTGATTACGTTACTGTTGGTCATCTGTCCATCATCGTATAAAGCCCGCCCTGACAATTTGATTGGATCGCCTGACAGTGGGCGATAATACTCGCGCTACTATGGAGCAGAGCCAGACCGAACTTCCCCGACCTCAAACTTTGTGGGCGGGACTAAGTTCGGAATGGCACCCAGGCTAGTGTTCACCTGGACACCAGACTCAATTGGAAATGCAATGTATATTTATTTACGAAAGGGGACAGAGCAGCTTTAAGGCTTAAGGCCTTCAGTGTCAGGAGTAATATGCTGCATATTTTCTATAAGACTGTAGTGAAGAGTGTGGTCTCTTCTGCCATCATATGCTTGGTTAATAACATTGGAGTAGTGTCTTCAAGGACACCAGCAAACTGATAGAAAAGACTGGGTCTGTTCTAGGAACTTCTCCATAGCCTCTGGAGATGATTTCACTAAAAGGATCATATAATGAAGAACATGTGGACAACAGTGTGCATCCCCTTCAGAAGCCTGTTAAACAACAACAGATTGTATGAAAAGGCTTCTCTAGATCCAATATAAGACTGACCACGGTAGAAAATCCTTCCTGCCTACAGCTAGCAAAAATGTATTACAAAGTTATTTATTTCTAGTAGATTCATTTGATACTTGAAAAAATAAATAAATAAAATTTTATATATATATATATATATATATATATATAACCAATGTACATTACACATCACCAGTACAGAACTGCATTAATTGTATTACAGAAAGTGCATAAAGCATATCTTAATACAGAAGAAAACCAAATATAAACTGAGAGGGAACAATAATAATGGTAAAAATAATAAAATAATAATAATAATAAAGGGGCAACATTATGTTAGAAATAGATTGAAGAACAGATTTTATTTACTCACGAAAGAAAGAAAATTACCAGCACATTTTGTTCTTACAAATTCTAAAGATTTAAGATAAAATTTTGTCTCATTTTTCCAATGGGATTTTTAATTTAACTTATATTAAACTGAACGCAGAAGTAACTTGATTGCGGAAGTGACGTTCAAGTAACGGTGTCTAGTAACGTCACTGTTATGCGACCGATAGGCTGCCACTTAGCTACGCAGTTGTTTGTGTTATCGGATTTGTTGGAATTTTCCACTACGGAGTTTGTCCATAATAAAATAGTGAATTGAACCGTGGACTGGTGGATATTATACTAAACAAGAACCGGAACTGAGCTTTCTGTGATACAGATTTCCAACAATTTCCTGTGGTGTAGTATAGAGTTCAACCGTTTTTTATTTTGGACTTTGGGGAGTGGATGGGGTTAACCGTAAACTAGCTGTTAGCATATTTTGCCCAGATTAGCTGCTGGTGCCCGGAGCAATTTTAGCCTTTCGTTGTTGAGATGGAGTTTCATGGAGTTGGTGGGGGAACAGGTGGAGTTGTGGTGAGCGGCGGTAACGTCCCGGCCTTTTTAACTAAATTGTGGACCCTCGTGGAAGACCCGGAGACCGACCCTCTTATCTGCTGGAGCCCGGTACTTACTTCACTTTAACTAGCCTAGCCTAACTTAGCTTAGCATTGTAGAGCTAACTGCACGTAGAATCTGTAGTCTGGCTCTGTTGTCATACGAAAGACTTCAGATTTTAAGCCTCGATTTTACTTTAAGAAAAAAAGTATTCATATTTGGATGTTATTCCACTATTTGTGCCCTAGTTATCTTGAATTTGCAATGCCAGACAAACGAACCGAGCATGATATCTTATTAGCTTTTGGATAATGAGATCTGTTTAGTTAGCTTTGGTTTAACTGATTTGAGAGTGACGATCTTGCCTGCCGACATAAGAAAGCATGAAAATCCCTTGGCTTGGCTGTTGATTCCTGTCTCTGTAAAGTTAAATGGGCGATCAAATGTTTAAATTCTTAAGGAAATACTTGGTTTTGTATGTAATGGTTTCCAGTCCTGCTCAATCTAAAACAGAAAAAAATAAAAAACATATTTAAACATGTTCTTAGCTCTATCAACGTGGTTACAATTTCAAAAATAAGTTTAGTCAAGTTACTTAAAGAAATTTATAAATTCTGACACAATTGCAGAGGAGATGGCTTAACTTTGCATTTAGTTAAATAAAGATAATATTGAGCTGTCATGTTTTGTGATTATCTAACGTTCAGCTTATGCTCTTATGCTTTATCATCTAAATTGGCTTATGTACACATATTGAGAAATTCATGTTTGTAATTTATAATTTAGTGTCTACAAATTAATGATCTTGTTTCCTCTCAGTAGATGTAATTTGTTTAAAGAACACAATCTGTCAATTTCTATTTTATTTGGTGCCTATCTCCACTGGTTATTGTGTAATGGTGTGCCTAGGGCCGCTGGGTTTAATTTCCAGTGTTTTTTGGGGAAGAATTAGGTGGTACAACCATAACAGGTCACTGTCTTAACTAGCTGTACAAAAGCAAAAATCGTATTAACTATATCACTTTCCTATTAGATTTTTATGTATTCCATCAACACACATTTGTAGTGGGTGATGCACATCCTAAATCATAATGGTACCTGTAAGAGAATATTTTTTTTTTCTGTGCAAAAAAACATTTAATTTCACATTCTCCTTGAGCGCAAAATAAAATCACTAAATAGCGAAAAAAAACAAAGAAATAGTTAACACTATGGTGAAATCATAAATCCTAATGTACAACAATACAATTGACATCCTGTGTTCAAGGGGGTACCTTTGGGAGAAAAATTAACAGCGCACTGTTCTTGACTTGTAGATTTTGTATCTTTTCCCAGATGCCAGGACTGCGAGTATGTCCTGGAAGGGGCCCTGGCTGTTTTTAGCTGTAGTTCAGCCTTCCCACACAATCCTCAGTGCAGAAGTTTTCTATCCACACCTGTCACTGTCTATAACGTATTTTACAAAACAGTTCCCCTATATGGTGTTTAAGGTGGATCCCTTTTAAAATGCCTCGGCAGTTCATTACTCATCATCATCAATAAGTTGGCCATCTTCGTAACCAGTCAGAGCTTGTTGTATTTATTCATTGCAGTAAATTTCAAGCGTTATTTTAAAAACAAAATGTTTCTGAGACATCTAACTTTCCATTCCTTTCATACCTTCCTTCCTACCTCCTGTCCTTCCTATCTTTTTTATTGCCATGCTTTTGTCCTGCCTTGTGTCCTTCTGCTTACTTTTCTCTTTCCTTGGTTTGTTTTTCCTTCCTTTCGTGTGTCCTTACTCCCTTTATTCTCTTCCTTGAGGTGTTCTTTCATTCCTTCCTTGTTTCCTTCCCCTTCTTTTTGTCCCTGTTTTACTGCCACTTTCTATCTTCTGTTTAACTTTCCTTATTGTTGGTGTCTGTTTTTTTGTATTGAAACCACAAACAAAAGCTTTTTTCTCTACATCTTAAATGTACATTAAACATATATTTTGCTCACAGATGAGCTAAAAAGCAGGATAACCTTGTCAGGTATTCGATCTGATAGTGAATTTACCCAGTTTGATGAATTAAACAGCCAAATTCCCCACACTCGTGTGTTTTTATTGTGGCTGAACTACTAAAGCTCTCAAAAGGTTTCAGGGGCATTTTGTTGTGGTAAAGAAAGAACAGAAAAACTTTGGTTTGATTAAAGTCGAACTGTCATAAAAAATGTGAATAAAAAAAAATAAATAAATAAAAAAAGTGATCTTCTTTTGCATCCGTGGTGTGTGCTTATAGCCATTTTTCACACCAGCTCTGTATACTTGATGAAAAAGCATAAAATGAAATAAGAGCCATTTTAACAGCTTGCAATTGAAAGCCACTTATAGTAGTAAACATAATTCACCATCATTTATATGATGTTTTGCATTAGATAAATATTGGATATCTATTATTTATAGTTTCCTGAATCTTACTTTTTTAATTGGGGTGTACAGATATAAAATACATTAAATGTTGCTGTTTCCTGAGTGAGAACTCTTACAGCAGGATTTCTGGTACGATTGGAAAACATGTATGTCTTCAATGAGGGTTACATTAAGTTACATGGATGTTCTGCATTAGCTGAACATGTTCCCACTGATAAATAGCAGTTAAAGGTTCTCTGATAAAACATAGCCTGGGTCAATACAGCTAACCTAGTCTTTCTCTTTCACGTCTAAATTTGTGGTTCTATAATTGTATTTGAAATCGTCCTTTTAGCAATAGATTGATTTTACTCTTAAGATTCTTGTGGTTATATCACAAAACTTTGATCTAAGAGAACTATGTGTTAGAGAATTGGCTCCTGGTTCTTTAATGTTTGAGCTCTAAGTGGTTTAGTGGTTAGGCTGGTTTTAGTGTAGGGGTACAGAATAAAAATGGGTCAGAACACAGGGAGGCATAAAGGAAAGATTCTACCTGGGGAGAAATCGGATCTACACTCAACAGTCTTGTGGAGCTCAGATCGCCGCTGCCTTTTACAGCACCTATTTGTAAAGCAATCGTGTTTAGCTGCAGCTCTTCTGTTCTGCCATCACAGATAGTTAAATGGAAAAACACTGATCATGCTCAAGATCTTTGTAAAGTAGTTTGTTTATTGTCAAAATTGCATGTTTATAATTGGACCGTAACCTTTACTTAAGAATACTTCTACTTTTGGTTATTCTGTTAGCTTAAGCTGTTGTGTGCAGTTTAATGTGATACATTAACAACCGTAGATAACAAACATTAAATATTTTCAAAGTTTCTTTTTTACTATAGCTGGGGCTATTTATTTCTTTGATTTAATTTGTTTGTATTTCCCCTTCTTTCCAGAGTGGAACTAGCTTCCATGTGTTTGATCAGGGTCGGTTCTCTAAAGAGGTTCTACCAAAGTTTTTTAAACACAACAACATGGCTAGCTTCATTCGGCAGCTCAACATGTGTAAGTTTCAGTATCAATTTTTATCAAGTCAAAGACGAATCCTGTTTAACAGGCACTTTTTTATCACAGTAGAAAATGCTTCAGATAACTTTAAAGGAATGGTGTAGGTTGAAATGGAGGAATTCTTTGTCTATATTGCTCCTCAGATGGTTTCCGTAAGGTGGTGCACATCGAGCAGGGCGGCTTGGTGAAACCAGAGAGAGACGACACAGAGTTTCAGCATCCATACTTCATCAGAGGGCAAGAGCACCTGCTGGAGAACATCAAACGTAAAGTCACTAATGTAAGTAGCATGCAGATAAACCAGTCGCACTCAGTCGAAAGGTCTTAAATTTCACAACACTTTAAAACTCTTATTTTCATTACACGTCTTCTTTACAGTTAAAAACAATCTCCAATGATCAGTAATAAATGACATTCTTTGTCACGTCAATGTCTGATAAAATAAATGCTAAGTTTGGGTGGTTTGATTTTCAAAATAAAATGTATTTCATACCATAAATCACTTATTGAGTTTTGTTTAATAGAAACAAACTACAAAAGACAGAAATTGCTTTTCCTTAACTCGTCATTCATCCCCTCTAGGAGTTGATCTGAATTCATAGTGCAACTAAATACAAGCTGTAAAACAGTCTGTCATTCCTTGTAATTATTAGAAATGAAAGCACACAGATGATGATGTTGTTGTTTGCAGCTTGTGGTAATATACAGAGTGCTTGTTTATTATCTTGGGGAAAATAAGGAACAGATTGATGTGAATCTGTAGATAACATTATTAAAAATGTCATATTCAGAAAAATTTAACTAGATCATAAAGTTAAACTTTCACCCAGTGCTGATAAATACCAAGCCAATGTGGAAAGCTTTCACCACAGGCCTAAAAGAAACAGTTGTTTCTGCTCAGCAGTCTGGGGATGGTTGTAAATAATTTTCCAGGTGTACCATACTCCATCATATTCTGAAGATAAAGCTTATTTTCAATAAAAAAACATTAATGGATCATATTGTTATTGATTATATCAGTAAGGTTCCCCAGATTTCACAAACTGTTAACTAGATTTCATACTCTACCCACATTAGTCATACTGATAGGTGTTACAAATTCTGACACTGTAAAAGGGAAAAAAACAAAAGAATTTTTTCCAGCCTGGGATTAATTTCCCAGCCTGGGATTAATACAGAAGAACTACTGGTCGATCAGAGCATGTTTTATTTAATTAGTAATTGTAAAGAAAAACAGACAGCAGATAAAAAATAACTTTAATCCAATTTGTATTTTGATTATAATCTTCCCTTTCAAGTTCCTCCTTGGTTGTTCATATTATTGTTTACCTTAAAGGAGAAGTTCACTTTTTAACACTTTAAGCCCATTTTCTGTAGTGTCCAGGATGAAATCGAATGATCGACACCAAACTTTTGACAATTGGTCCTGTCTCTGCTTTTTGGCTCATTTAGAATCACCCCCTGGCTGCTCCAGAATGGCTTCCATAGAGCATGTCCGATAATGTCCTTAAAACAACCTTAAACGTTCTTTTTTTAAAATATGCTACTCACCGGGTCGTCAGCGCTGTTCAATGACGTTCCAAAAAAAGTTTCGTGAAGAAAAACCGTTCCTGTAGTGTTTTATTTAGCATTTTGTAAATCCCATTGAGTTCTGTAGGAATAGTCAATATTCCGCTGCCACCGGAAACGGAAATGGGGCCTGTTTACACAGTTGTAGTCTTTTCGCTTCACTCTGTGTACTCCGACGTCGAGGTGCTAACGTCTCTGTTAAACACTTTAAAAAACTCTGAAAATGGAATACGAAAGGTGGATTCTTGATTCTCGACATCGGAGTACACAGAGTGAAGCGAAAAGACTACAACTGTGTAAACAGGCTCCATTTCCGTTTCCGGTGGCAGCGGAATATTGACTATTCCTACAGAACTCAATTGGATTTACAAAATGCTAAATAAAACACTACAGGAACGGTTTTTCTTTACGAAACTTTTTTTGGAACGTCATTGAATAGCGCTGACGACCCGGTGAGTAGCACATTTTAAAAAAAGAACGTTTAAGGTTGTTTTAAGGACATTATCGGACATGCTGTATGGAAGCCATTCTGGAGCAGCCAGGGGTGGATTCTAAATGAGCCAAAAAGCAGAGACAGGACCAATTGTCAAAAGTTTGGTGTCGATCATTCGATTTCATCCTGGACAATACAGAAAATGGGCTTAAAGTGTTAAAAAGTGAACTTCTCCTTTAACATGCTCATGTCTAAAGATATAGTAAAGTATAAGTGGTCCTCCTAATTGTCAATCCTTCTGTTGATATGTTTACGTAAGGCCATCCTGCATGCTTTTTCAATTACAGTCAAGTAAAGGCCAAAGTGGTACAAAGTACAAAAAGGAATAAAAGAAAACTCCTTTGGTTCTGTCTGGTTTAAAAACTTGAAATGCATCTTTTATAATAACCCTTTTAATATTTAGGTGGTTGTTTTTTTTTCCCTTGGCAGACAAACTGGCACATCAGCACAGCGATGTTAAATCCCCTGTACAATAGTTCAGTAATACCTGTGTAACTGACTTATAATGAAACTGATCGAGGTCTACCTTGATCTGAGCAATCACAGCATGCCTTAATCAGGATTTGGGATCAGTTCAATCTGCAGTAATAGTAGAAGAAATGACAATACATGTTTACACTCTACCTACAAATACTTAATATTGACAGAAACCACTTTGTTGGTTTTCTCTCTTTGTGGTAATGGACTATTCCATATTGTGTTGCAGGTGTCATCAGTCCGTCAAGAAGAAATGAAGATCTCAACAGATGAAGTCAACAAAATCCTCAGTGATGTCCAGCAGATGAAAGGAAAGCAGGAAACTATTGACTCCAGGATCATTGCCATGAAACAGTAAGAATCAGAAGCGAAACTGCATCATGTGCTTACCTTACCTCACCTAGTTATTTTAGGTTGAGTTTTATTCAAACAACCTTTGAGGTGTTAAATGGTATATTAGACACCCTTTTAGAGAAAAAACGATTTTAAACCAGAAAGTTTGCTTATAGCCGAGCATACACTCTACGATTTTTTCCCCCCCTTTTCGGGCCGACTTTCCAGTTGTGCGAGAATTTTTCGATTGGGCCGACTTTCAGCCTGATCGTGCATCATGTATTGTACGGGGAGTAACGAGGGGCAATCATCCTCTCACGACCGCCTTCAATTCAGGAATCGTAAGGTCGGGAGAAAATCAAACTTGTTTGATTTTCAGTCAGCCGTCGTGGGCAAATCGCTCAGTGGGCATGCACAAACAAGGATACTTCTTCTTCCTCTCAGATGAAAACAAAAGCATGGCTGGGGTGCAATGAGTGAAATGGAGTTCTTTCTGTAAAATTGACAGACCGTAGTAGCCATGTTTGCTCAGCCATGTCTTTGTCCAAATACACTGTTGCCTTTTATTTTTAGGGCTCTCAGCACATAATTTCACAAATTGCCAAGGCAGCGCTTTTCACTCTAGTGAGCTTCATATTCCTCTTCTACTAGTGGGGCTTCCGGATAGACGAGTCCGAGTAGCACCATCTCACTGTGGAGCTGAGGCCGACGTGGGTTTTAGACGTACAGTGTGAGCAGGTAGATCGCACAGAGCGTCGGGTCGCACAGTGTGAGAACATACATCGTGAGCTGTGAACTCACACTGTATGACGAGCTGTAGCTGCGTGCAACAATTGAAAAATATCGGAAAGTATATGCCCGGCTTATGTTTTTATAATTTTTAAAAATCATTCCTTTGCTCATTTCTACTTATTTAGTTAACATCCATTAAACAATTATTCTCTGTAAGCACCAGACTTCAAATCTAACAAATTAGGCTATAATTCTCTGTTCTCCTGTTAAATCTGGGCCTTAATTTAGCATCCAAAGTGTTTGTGCTCTTTTAACTACAACTGTCCCTCCTTTAACCTCCCCATATCCTTTTCTGTTTCAGTGAGAACGAAGCTTTATGGAGGGAGGTGGCCAGTCTGAGACAGAAACATGTCCAGCAACAGAAAGTTGTCAACAAGGTATTGAAATACACAGACCAATCCTAAAGTTATAGTGAAGGATGTTGTTTTTCTGGGTTGATCATCTAAATAATTGTCAATCATTCTGGTGATTGTTTATGCAAGGCTTACCGGAGTCTGACATAGTGGAAAACTTGCTTGTATGAGTGATGCAAACAGCAACTTGTAAACAGATCGTGTAAGAGGAGAAATGGGCTTGTGCATGCTTTTGGACCTGTTTTAATAGGCGTTCCCTCTCGGGAGTGGGTAAAGGGTTGTGCATGTGCATTTTTAAAGTGGAGAGGGCGGGTCTTTTTAAAAATTTGATAAAATCCTCCACTATACCTTTAATGATTGAAGAAGGAGGCTGCTTAGATTAGTTTGGCTCATACAGCATTGAATAATGGTATGCGTTTTAGTAAATGTTTGCTTAGCCAATGAAAAGTATGCTGCTCAACACATTGGACAAGTGCAGAGTGTTCTCAGCTTTTTAAAACAAGGATTTTGACCAAATTTTATTTTGCACTGCTGGTCAGATGGATAAAAGAAGGTTACTACACCCTAATTTAGAAGGCAGAAATATCTACTAGGTTGGGATTATTTAAATATTTTTTTAAGATGCAGACAATAGTGATTGGCTTAAAAAAATAGATCACCATCCTGTCACTCTGATTAGCAAAACCCTAGTAAACTACAGTTTACTACCTGCTGGCCAGGTGTCTTCTAAGCCTTTTTAATGGTCGTCATTTCTATCTTAGCAAACCCCTAGCACTGTCAATGTTGGTCCCCAAACAGACAAAGTCTAAAATCTTTATTTCAAACAAAAGTCTATAGTAATTATTTGACCATTTTGCTGAATCTTATTTTCTTCTCTCAGCACCACAGTACTCTGCTCTTCCATACATTGCCTTTTCTTTGCATTCTCTTTGAGTGTTTTGTAGGATGGATTGGTAATGTTTCTGAAGTTGTTTGAACCTAAATGTTGTCCATCAAAATTGGTTTAAAATGGCGATGGCACCATTGAAAACAAGACAGGCATCATCCACAAGGGGCAGATTAGGTGAAACCACAGATATTTTGTAATTCAAGCTGTGTATTCAAACAAAGCCCACATTCTGGGAGAGTATAAACGATCTTTGTTTTATGCAAGCTGCATCGTTTTTTTATGATGACATTGTAGCTTTACCTACCTCTGTTACCCACATGCACCTCCTAACCTCCATGTTGCCATGGTTACCTTGAACCAGTTATTTGCGAATTCCCCGTGTTTTAGTTAGGGGTTTGGATGTGATTCTGTGGTGGTGTCACAGGGTCATCAAAGGGCCTGGCATATGTACTACAGTGTCCTAGTTGGTGCTGTTAATACTTGTGTAGTGAAAACTTTTTTCTAAGCTGTTTGTTAAATTTAATGTGTTCCTATTCATGTGGTCTAGGCCTTAGATGAACTATAGGGCTCTTTAAGGGAAATTAGACATTTGCACAAAATTAACTAATCTTCCCACACCTACAGAAACACTGTAACTTTTACCCACTAGTCAAGCTAAACCGATACCCTCCAGGTCTGCACAAAGCCACGCTAATATGGTTTTGAAAAGGTGTTCTCTGAACTAATTAGAAACTGTCTTTTTGTTTGGTTTTTTTGCAGTTGATCCAGTTTCTGGTGTCTCTCGTTCAAACCAACAGAATCATTGGAGTCAAGAGGAAAATGCAAGTCTTTTTTCAAACACAGCTTGACATCTTAAATCAGAATGGAAATACAACTAGATTTATATGTGAATACAGCAAACTAGGATCTATATTTTGTAAACAGTCGGATAATACTTTAGTAATATTGTGGATTATTGTAACATAAATTAAACTCAGCTAACAGAATTCATTTTTTTTCAGATAATTTGTTTAGAGTTTCAAACAATATGATCATACATGCACCTTATAACGTGGCCTATATGTGCTTTCTCCACCTGCAGTCCTCTGATGCTCAATGATTCCAGCTCTGCCCACTCTATGCCGAAGTATAGCCGGTCCCTTACAATGGAGCATATTCAGGTAATGAGCCTATTTCTACAGCTGGTAAAATAAGTATTGACCATGCTACCATATTTCTCAGTAAATATATTTCTAGAGATGCTACTGACCTGACATTTGCACCAGATATCCAGAAATGAAATTATGTGTAATAAAGTAAAATGGAACAGGGAAAAAAATATTGAACACATATACTGAAATTACCTTTGTTGGTAATGATGGTAGGGGTTAGGGGTCATTCTATAGGGGTCATTCTATGACCCCTAACCCCTAACATCATAGAATGACCCCTAACCGATGTAAACAGCAATTTTTAAACAGAGCGTGCATGAGGAGAAAAGAGCTACAGAGTTGAGCATGTGCATTTATTTATTTATTTTTTTTTTAAGTGGAGGGGGGGGGGGGGGGGTCTTTTAAAAAAAAAGGTTAAATCTGGGGGAAAAAAAATGTAAGACTTAGAAGGAGTCATTTCAAGATTTATCAGAGCTACTAGGGTCTGGCAAACCCTTAGCTCCATCTCAGATGACTTCAACCAACTATTTCCTATTGATGCAGAATCCTTTCATCTCCATGTTTGCACACTAACCAGAAATATATATTTATATATTTTGGACCGATCAATTGATTTAATATCCTATTGTATAAATTTACATACTATATATATTTTCAGTAAGGTAAGTACTTTTATACCACCCTAGAGTTTCTGCTGCTATTATTTTTGAAAAATTGTTCTTAATAAAGGTTGAAGCTATAACCTTTAATGCACTCCTTGTATTTCCATGGTCCAAAGTGACTACTACTAGCATATTTCACAGTTTCTTTTTAGCTAACATAATTTATAGGTTAACTCCCAGAGGGAATGATTAAAATAAAAGCAAGGTTTTAAAATGATTTCTGTCATTTACATAGTTTTCATAATAATTAAATAGTATAAATTTGATAAATCGAATTTGGTGTGTTAAAAATAATCAGACATTCTTTCAGGCATCATATAATCCAGTCCTACTCTGTGGGGATCTGTGTAACACTTATTTTCTCGATTGATGTTAATTTCAGAACGCAGCTGCCAATCTGCTCGCTGCAGACTCGACCTTAAATTCTGGACCGATCATCTCAGACATCACGGAGGAACCCCCTTCCTCCCCAGAAGAAGCAGTCGCTGACTGGACTGACCTAGGGTGAGGACTTAAGAGATCTGCCTCCTTTATTTATTTTTCATGCAGATATATATGTAAGGCTTCCCTGTATATCTGCAGCGAGAACCATGCAACTTTTATCAAAGAGGAACCATCCAGTCCCGAGGTGGAGGAGTGTCCTGTTCTTGAGGTTGAGCAGGACTCCCTCCCAGCAAACGAAGACACCCCTCTCTCCCCCACCACCTTCATCAACTCTATTCTTCAGGACGAGACGCCGTCGACGCAGGTCACGTCCTCCACCGCCACCACAGCTAATTCCACCAACACCCCAGCAGGTAGAAACTAATATACAGTCCTACAAATGTTTCGAAGTATTTATGGAGTGCTGTTTAAACCTTGGATCATAGGTCTGGTGGAAGAACAATTAACTTTACTATAAGCTATTAGATGTATACATATATAATAGCTGGCTAGGTGACATACACAAATGTTTGCAGTTTCTCTATCATATGGAAGAACTTAAAGGTTTGACTAAATTGCTATGCTTGGAAGAAAACGATTACTGCACATCACCCTGAATGCAGCATTTCTGTGGTGAAACATGGTGGTGGCACCATCATCTCAGGGGTATGCCTTTCTCCAGCTGGGATCTGAGGATTATTTTTCATCCATTATAATGGAGTTGGAACTTCTTTGGAAGAAAGAGGCAAAAATTTCAAGTTTGATGATACATATATTTGCAGATGTGAATTTCAGAAGACCATGCATGCTTATCCTTCTACATCCAAATGTTGCACAATTTTTTTTGCTTCTCATTAAATTCTGTTAAAGTTTAAAAACAATCCACTTGACTTGGTTTCCAAGGTTTGAAGACGTTTCGCATCCCCTCCAGGAAGCTTTCTCAATTCAAATGAATGACTATGACCTGGATGCCTGAGAATCTTCATCAGCATATTCTCATTAAATTCCACTTCCAACAGATTAAATGTGAAAAGATGTAGCAGTATAAATACTTTTTGCTAAGCCCTGAATTAGATCTTCTAAATGTATTTTGATCAGTCGCTTTAAATTTTCACCCTGGTAACCTTTGGTCCATCTGTTTTGCAGCCATCCCTGTTGTTGTGGTGAGCCCTTCCACCACTGGGGTTCCGACTCAGCCAGCTCCAACCATCAAATCTCCGGCCCCTGTTGCCTGCTCCAATCCTGCTTCGGCCCCCAGCCCCGCCACACCTAAACAGAAATGTCAGACCATCGCACGTCTAGACAGGTTACTACTATAATCATTGGGGACAGCAGGAAGTGCTGCTGTTGCCTTGCTTCTGTTAGCTGCTGCTGTGTTCTCATAATAAACCCACCAGTAGCCATAACTTGGGAGCCTTATCTGCTTAGGGCAAACATCAACTATTTTCAGCCTACCAACCAATTAGAAACAGCTCAATAGCTCCCTCCCGAAATGTCATATAATCTCAGAACAACTTTTTTTTTTTGTACGTCACTTCATTAGTGGTGCAGCTGCAGTAAAAGCACAGCCTCCTTAGAGTCTTTTTTAGACATTTCTCATCAGATAATTGTGAAGTGTTTCATTAAAAATCCTTGTGCTTCTCTTAGGTTCCTCCCCCCACCGCCTGCAGGTGGACTCTCACCTGATGTTTGGCGCATCCTATCGAAACTTCCTGAAAAGTGAATCTTTCAAATGATTATCTTAGACTGCATGTAAAAGATGGAGCCAAGCCTTTATTTCCCCCCACTTCTGACCTGTAGAGGCTTGTTTCTGTGATATTTAAAAATAATCAGAGTCAGACAAACTGATTTAAAACCAACTTGATTCATAGGTTGTCTGTTAGAATGTAGAAATCATCTTGCTATGCAGAGGGACTGCTGGGTCTCTCTGAGGTCTGCCTGCTGCTAAACAAAACGCTAACTGCCAACTTCTTGCACAAAAAATTACAGCCTCCAATTTTCGGACATCATTGTGGCTAAAGCTTTCTTTTATATAGAGTCTGAGATGATTACTGAACTTGTAGGGTATATATTTATTTCTATCTCTGGTGTCATTCTGCATTTTCTCTTTTTGTCTTTTATTTCAATAGTAAGCAAAAACAGCACTACAATTTCAGAAGTTACACAGTTGAATTTAAAGTGCAGCATCAATTTGTTGCTTAACTTTATATTCAAGGAAATATTTTAATATATAGTCTGCTCAGTGTTTAAGAACTCACACTTTTTGCACCTCAGTCATGTTTTTCTTTTTGTTTGTTATACAGATCAGAGATCATTTTAATAAGGCTAGATTGTGTTTATAAGATGCTTTGAAAAATCAGATTTCCAGTAGAATTGATCTGAGTTGAGGGATCAAAGACCTTAATTTTATAAGCAGCTGGACATGAGTTAGACAAACAGTTTTCTTAATACGGACAAAAGAAAAAAATGTAGAATAACATCAGACCCAACGTGACATCTCATGCCTGTCTCTCTCCCTCTGATTTTGTCCCAGGCATGAACTCTCTGACCACGTCGACAGTATTGACAACGGCTTAGAAAACCTGCAGAGTATTTTAAACTCTCAAACCTTCACCTTTGACCCGTCTCCCTTCATGGAGGTAACTCTGTCTGTATTTAATTTATTCCAATTCGTGAAGCTCTGATTATCAGTATGCATATTTATTTATGGAAATGTTTTGTGTGTCTTCAGTTTTTCAGTTCATCCGTTCCTTCTGGAGACTTTGACCTTGAAAGTTTGGATAATGTAAGTTTGATTTTACATATGTATTACACCTTTAGCTTTCCTCCTTATCCTCCTTTCCTTCTTATGACAATAGACACCTAATCAGTATCAATAGAAAATATGTCTACCAGGGTGTCCCATATTAAGATGAACTCATTGTGGCATCTGAGGGAGACAGAGGAACGGTATAAGAGACCAAACAGGAAAATAAAAGGAAATAAAAGAAAAATTAAATTTGGGTTAGTCACTCATGTTTCTCCAAATGATAAATAATTTACTTGAAGTCATTCTTATTCTAAGCTATCAGCATAATCTGTTTAATATGCAGGATGTTGCTATCTGAAATTGTGTTAAAATGTCAAGAGGCATCCAAGAGGCTCAATGTCTTTATCATAACAACTTTTTTTTTTTTTTTTTTTTTTTTTTAAGAGACTGCCATCTCTGATGGATTATTCTGACCCACTAATCCGGATGAAAATCTGGGGGGTTTCTCAGATGCGTCACTAATAGGACTGTTTTAAAATTTTTGCACCAGTTTGATTTAAGAAACTGTTTGTTTTCAGCTGCTTTCTGATGAAGTCCCTAAAGAAAGTGAAAATGGAACAGGTAACTACTGCTTCTCTTCATTTTGAACAAGCATTGGTTCTAGCATTGCTTTTTTCATGGTGACCTTTTCCATTTGTAATTGGTGCAGGGAAGCAGCTGGTGCAGTACACTGCCGCACCCCTCCATGTGACCGAGCCAGTGGTTCTGGGGGAGGCAGACACTGACCTCCCGTCTCTTCTGGAGTATGAGACGGAGCCGCTGTTTAACACCGACACGGCAGCGGGCGACCCACCCGAGGTCTTACTGAGTCCCAGCCAACTGGACTCTAGCCTCTAACATCCTCAAGAATGTAATGACTCCTCAGTAACCACAGGGCACTGAGCCCCAGCTCAGCAGCAGCAATAGACAATGACTAAATTGATGGGTTGTAGATCAATCATTAGGTCAAAGGTCATGTTTTTATCAAGCAGATGTTATTAATCGATATTAATCCATTTCTATACTCTAGGATTATTTTAGGTTTTATTTTGTGTTTGTCACCTAAATCGAGACCTTTATTTGTTTCTTGTTGTACAAAAAGATGAAAAGTAAAAAAAAGAAAAAAACTGTGAGAATCCTAATAAAACGGGGTCACATGTACCTGCTGGTGTATTCAGGGACAGATCTGGGAGCAGACGCAGTACATATGATGTCACAGTAAAGGTGAGCCAGGAGCATGTGACCGAGACGCTTTCTGCTCTGCATGTTTAAGTCGAATTTGCTGGCTGTTTTTTTTTCACTTGTATAATTTAAACATAAAGAGAGAATCAGAATATTTTTGGAAAAGTTTATTACAGAGTGTTTAATCGTCCTGTTTGTCCATCATCAATGGAAGCAGCAGAAAGGGACGCTTTGATTGAGATCTGAACAGATTTCTCTGTCCTCACGAGCCATGCTGCAGGTTTCCTGCAGATCTTCTGACTAAGTTTTATCTGGACCCCTGATTAGGCATGGGCCGGTATAAAATTCCTATGGTATGTAAAAATACCACTATGCACACAATTTAAAACAACAACGTATGACATTATCTAACTGTTTTGATTTAAAACGATGGCGGCAAATATTTCCCTGAGGCTCAAACTTACTGCATCGATGTTCTCTATTAAAATAGATTTTTTTCCTTTTTAATGCATAGACTTCAGCTGAAATGTAGAATAAAAACTTGCTAGTTTCAGTAATTTATTTCCAATATTTAATGTACAATAAGCATTTAAGTCCTTATTGTACCAAATACTCCCTTATGTGTCTTTATTTTTATTTTTTTTGGCAACTGATGGTAAAAGAGGAAAGGGGTTCTGGAGTTTAATGTGTGCCAGCTTATTGTCGGAGTGCAGCAGCATGTAGGGGAGGGGTAGCACTGCATTACTCTATGTAGCTGGTGGAAATCTGTCTCTTATACCTTATGTTTCATCTTCTCAAAAAAAACAAAAAAAAATGAAGAAACATAAAGACCGAATATTTCATCGTTTTGTGGAAACTTTACTTTTTAAAACCTTGGTGGACTTTAATGCTGGCAACCGGCCCATGCCTACTCCTGACAGTCTGCTGCACTCGGCTCTAACACTGCTGGAGTTTGAAAGAAACATGGAGTACGTCCAAAAAGATGAGGGGCAGAAAAGTTCTGGGAATATGTATGTTTAATTTGTTTTGCTGAAGAGAATTGATGGCACCATTCACTCAAAAAATGCAAGCTTTTTAAATACACAATTTTCTCTTATCAGAAAGGTTCAATGTATGATAAACTGGTCTAAAATGCTTTAGTCTGTCAGCAAATCTCAATTGTTTGCAGTCCTGCACATTTTGGATTCTGTCTTTTTCCAAACTGTAGCTTCAATAATACAGCTCTACCACTAGAGAACAATGTGTAATGGTACTTTACTTGATTCCAGTTTTAGATCAGTGTTGCTAAAACCAGGAGCAGATTTATGGTAAAACTTACTTCAGGATATCAGGTGTTGCGTTTCAGTTTTAATGAAACATTCAAGACTGTTGTTACTGTCAAAAGCAAGGATTCTTGTTTTCTGTTATATTCGTAAAAACTCTGTTTTATTTGGAGAAACTTCAAACTTAAGTACTGATGGGTGATTAGAGCTTAAAGTGAAGTGTAGCTCCTACTGACAGATATTTAATTTAAAATGTATAAGGGAAGCTGGAGTGTGATTGAGCAGGTGTAACTTGAGCACCTCAACGGCAAATAGGTATGTTACCATGTTTGACCACATTGCTTAAACAAGGGCTGCACAACATTAAGGAGAGAGATTGCAATTTTATTTCAAAAATTCAGTGATGGCATTATTGATTTGGGATTAAGCCTCCTTTTCCTCCATTTAATATTCTTGTCAGCACTCCAACCCTCTCCAAGCGGTTTAGCATAGAAAATCTTTGAATCAGGCGGGGAGATGCCTTAACAGTGGAGGGACATCCAACTGGCCAAACTACAAGTACATCATAACAACTTATAGTTATTGAAAGGTGGATTTATTTTTTAAATTCAGTTCAAAGAGGTAAACTCATATGCATTACACACAAAGACACGTTTCTAGTAGTTTTTATGGTTATGTCCTTTAGTCAATGTATAAAATTATATATATTATATATAAAAATTTCAGCAAAACAAAAAACTTTTAACACTTAAGTTTGAGCCCTCCAACTAAGTCCTTGCACTCAATACTAGGTTGGGCTCCTCTTCCATGAATGATGCAGCGTGGCATGGAGATGATCAACCTGGAGTCCTTCTACCTCGTAATGAAAGCCCAGGTTGCAACCTTCAGTTCACCTGTGTTTGGTTTATTGTTTCTCATCCTCACCTGACATCTCAACAAATTTCCATAGATTGTCTTTAGTTTGTCATGTCAGTTTCATGAGTTGCCATTGGCAGCAATACAATCTGTCATTGGTGAGAGGCAATGTGGGCTACTTGGAAATCAAATCAGCATCTCCATCAGTCCAATATTTCCTTCAACACAATTCTATGTTGGTTCCATTGGTCGCAGCAGTCTGAACAAAACACCTTTATCTTTGACCTGTTGTGACTGAGTCAAATCAGCAGACTTGTCCATGCCTTGCAGCTGTTTCTTGATATGCATTTTTGGATAAATTCTGTTTTGTTATGTAATATTTTCCTAGAGACTCATCTTGATTCCACTGGATGCAAGCCACAGTAAACCAAAAATGATTGAAACATGCTTGAAACAAGCACTTTGTGTGTAATAAATGCATATGAGGTTCATTATTGATCATTAAAAAACTAAAATCAACTTTTTGAATGCGTTGTCTATTAAATGCTTCAGAGTTTGAATCATTTTATTCTTGCTTTTTCAGGCAGCTTAATCTCAATACATTTCCCAAAAAAAATCCCAGATTTAAGAATTTCTCTAATTAAATGTAGCTAAAAAAAATAAATTAAGCACAGTCTTGGACAGTGAAGTGGCTCCTGTTGTTCTGAATCATCAATCCTCAGATGCCTACTGGTTTGTCAGATGCTGTACAGAATTGAGGCTCTCTGCCATGTAAAATTCACAATAAATAATAGATTGACTTTGCTTGATTTTGTTTTTACTTCCAACCAACAAGCCATCTGTATTTAATTTACCTGACAACTCTCTACATGTAGGAGAGAGGAGGGTTGAATGTTGAAGTGTTCTGGTTGCAAAACTTTTGTTAAATAAACCGTTTTAAACACAGCCGGCCAAAGTGTGATTATTTTAAATCCGCATTAATGTATTAAGACAAAACCTTCGTACTTTAAGAAAAGAACAATTTGATGTTCAAAATAGACAAAACTTTATTGTAGAAGTTCAAACATTTACAATTAGTTCTGTATGATGCCAAAAAACAAACAAAATTGTCAGTTGGTCGACATTCATCTAAAATATTTTTTTTTGTAATTCCCATTAAAGCGGGCTTTTGTCATTTCCAAACCTGCGTGAGTTGGTGGTGACTTAAGTGGGTGAGGTCTTTACATAGCACTAAAAAGATGGCAAGTGGTGAAAACACTTGGTTTATACAAACTTATCAGGCACATTTTGATGCCAAACAACATTTTAATGGCACTATGCTTTATTGCAAGTTTGGAAATGAACAGCAAGTTATATATAGGCTATTTTATTCGCTTTTATTTTGTGAACAATTAAACAATACACATTAATTCTCTTTCCTCACTTCTAGCTGGATCATGCACCAGTGATGGATAAATGAGAAGACCAAAGATGGTCTAAAACAAAATAAACGTCCATAAACCACGTTTTCTTTTTTAAATATTTAAACAACAAAAGGGAATAGTTGTCATTTGGAAGGAGGTGGGGGTCTACAGCTAGTGGGTGGAATCAGAATTCCTGGGCCATGCTGATTTGTCGGTACACGGAATTTGAAAACGAATTAGCCGCACGCTGGGCTTCATGTGGAAGTCAGCAGGTATCCTCCAGTTCCGCATTTTCAGCACCTGAGAAACAAATAAGTTTCAATGAAAGTTCCATGAAAAAAAAAATTTAAAATTATGAATTACTTTTTTTTTTCAGTTTAAAACCCCAACAAAATTATTCATTAAGACAAATGCAAAATGTTCAGATGTATAAGAAAAGCTGTTGAAATACATTTTTTTATTATTGATAAATGATAACCATAAAATGAAATAAGACATTTCAGACTGATAAGTTATGCAATATTCTTGAGCTTGTTTAAATTTTCACGGCTGATGACAATAATAAAATAACGTTTCCTTAAATGGTCTCTTACTCTGCTTTTACAAATAGTTCAAAAAAAGAGGTTAAAACCATAAGATGACCAATTGCTTTGAAGTGAATAATGACTCAGCAAAACTGGATTTTAAAGACCCGTTGAGAGACTTTGTTTCATTATCTAATATCTTTATACAAATTGCTTTTTATGCAATTACCTACAATGATTTCCTGTTTACAGTGAATCATTTGAAAGAATAATCCAAATAAACAGTGTTTTACAAAAGAACTTCAAATCTCACTAAATTCAGACAGAATTTGGATAGCTGTGAAGCTCCTCCGTTGTGTAGGCCCTTTACACTAAATAACTGTCACAGGACGTATTTTTCTTTTGCACACTAGTAAAGAGTAATATTTTCTTTTGGTTTGTGTGGAAACCATAAGGATGGTAGCTGCACAGAGCTGCGCTTACCCACCAAAATGGAGCTTGGACACACACGTGGGGATAATGTATAGATTCAGGGGAGCTGAATAAAATACATGCCACACTTTTCAAAACTGTCATTCTTATATACATTATAATATATCAAATTCCTTTGATTTGACAATAATTCACCCCTTTGTCTGCCTAACATACACATTCTCAATAAAGCACATTCCAAAGTCTGGCTGTAAATTGATCAGTGTAAATAAAATAAAAAATAAAAAACGGCCTAAAGGGGGGGGATACTTTTGTAAGGTCCAGATTAAGCTTGAGAGCAGTGGTTCTGAGTGAGCTGTCACTGACCTTCAGGACCCTGACCAGATGGGTTGTACTGTTCAGTGACTGAACCTGGAGAGGACAAGCCCAACCAAGAGAAGAGAACAAGCAAGCTTTCAGCAACTGATCTGAGGTCAGACACTCACAGAAAAACAAGCATCCCAGAGGCTCCTGTTAAACAGAAGCTAAGAATCCAAACCACCGTTTAGACTACATGCATATAAAAGTTTGGAAGGTGTTGGTAAACGGATTTGTTGATTAATTTCACTGTTTAGGATCTTGAAAGTCAGCGATTCAATGAAAACCTGGCAGAAATACAGACTTGTGATTTTTTTTACTACATTAAGTTAATCGTGAACTGGTGCTGAGAGTTTTAAACCTAATTCATGTGTATGTTAGCGTTTGTAAAGCAAACTTTCTATTTATGTCTTCTTAAAAACAAAACAAAAAAAAGCCTGTCAGAAATGTAAAAGACTTTTAAATATTATAAAAAAGTTAATAGTGGCTGAAATTTAATATGTTAAAAATAAAACGTAGATCAGAAACTAACCACAAAGTTCTGATTGGTGCATCTCAAATATAAAACTTACCAGCCATTTGTGTTTGATCCGTCCCTGCTAGATGTCCTATAAAGAAATGCAAACATTCCCTTTTTATTAAGTATGTATTATATATACATTAAGCCAAATAGATCTACAGAAAGGAGCAAGGTAATTTACATATGATGCAAGTTACTCTTAATCTAAAAAGAACCAAAAATAAAAACTTACTGGAGTCAAACGGAGTCCCTGATGGATGAGCTGTAACTAAAACACAATGAGAGTTAATTAGATAGCCTGACCTCCGACCTGGCTTCTGGAAGGGATTCTGAATTGATGAGCCTTACCTGTGTCTGTACCTGTGGAGTCTGCCATTACAGTAACCGGATCTGTGTTAGAGCCAACAGCTGAAACTGGAAAAGGGAAGAAACACAGCAGTGAGACGGGAACAGTAAGCGGTCAAACATCTGCACAGGCAGGCAGGCAGGCAGACAGACAGACAGACACTCAGGCAGGCAGGGAAGCAGACAGGCAGGCAGGCAGACAAACAGACAGACAGTCAGGCAGGGAAGCAGACAGGCAGGCAGACAGACAGAAAGGCAGGCAGACGGACAGACAGGCAGGCAGTTGTACCTGGGCTCAGCGTGTTGGTGACGGCTGCTGCAGACTCTATGTTCATAGTGATGGGAGACAGCTCTGTAACCCACAACCATCAGAGTTAAAAGACACAAACTTATCAAATATGTTAAATAATTCTCCATCATCGACCTATACCTGTAATATCACGGCCAGGACCTGAATCTGGATCGGAGCAGAACATAGAAAGTCAGTTTCATTCTGAGGATTTATCTCTTCTACTATTTTGATTGGGTCATCTTACTTGTGAGGTCAAGATGAAGAGCGGTTACTGTCTCTGTTCCACCTACAGACATCATCATCGTTATTATAATGAATAAGGAATATTTAATTTAACTTACTTTCATTTACACTTTAATCATCATCAATGAAATAGGGTAATTTGTCATTGTTTGAGGTAGGCCAGCATAAAGTTTTGATTTTATGCAGGTCTACGTCGCAGAATTGCAAATAGTATCAATAATACAGAGCTATGCTACTGGTAACCTCCTGGGCCCTAAAGAGCAAATTTTTTAGGTAATACAAAACAACAAAAACATGAAAGAAAAGCTAAATACATACACCAGCAATAATATCTTTATTGCATTTTTTATTGCTTCTACAAATCTACCTTTAGTGAGTTTATGGTTTATTTAACCAACAGCAAGGCTCTAAATAAAAACGCGGCAATTGGCTTCTCTTCCATTATAATGTAACTTTAATGGAATTTTCCTCTCTTCTTTGCAGGTCTGGGTGACTAATCGATAAAATCAGTTAACCCTTTAAAGCCCGATCCAAGAGTAAAACAAAACAAAAAATTTATTTTTTTTGGTTTGAAGTTCTTATTTGGCCTTTTAAAAATATGTAAAAAGAAAAAACAGAAATACATTTTTGATATTAATAATTTATTACTATGCGATAAGTCAAGATTATTTTTTGTGTAGTCTTCTGCCCTCTGTTATCAGGTATATCTGATTGTGTACAATAGGATTTTGAGCACAGTTTTTACCATTAAATTATGCAAAAGGTGTCAGACGCAAAACATTTTAGAAACCATATGTATCAAATATGATACATTTGGCAATACAGGGTAAACAGGATTTTTTTTTTTACATTTTTTGGAGAATCTGGATTATTTTTTAGCTTTCCACTCCTTCGGCTTCCATAGCTCAGAGGGATCTCAGTGTATGGATTTTTGTTTGCTTAGTGATGTTTGCTTATAACTAATAAACTAGCTCACTGTGTGATACCACTAGTCACCAACATTGAGTATGATATTTTTCAGTTGTTTGTTGTAAAATATTATTATTTTACAAACATGTTTCACCGCTTCAATTTAATTGTCACCTCCCAGATATGATGATTGAAATCAAAGCTTTTTTTTCGAGTTTAATATGTGATTATTGAACTTAAGTGAGTAAAAACAATCGATTAATCAGGTTTGATAAGAAAAAATAAAATAAAATCTGACATTAGATTTTGAAGCCATGTAACCCAGCCATACTGATTTGTAATCTTTGTAAATAAACAATGTTGAAGCCATTCTAGCCATATCTCAACTACCTAATCCAGGTTAAATAAAGGAAATGAATGATATTAATATAAATGTAGAGGGGAGTCAGAATCAAAAGTAGTTAAATGTAATATTTTTTTTATCATATAGCTTTCTTTTAAACAACACTATTTATAAATGTCTTTATTGGTACAATAAATAATTATTATTTAAGAAGGTGAATTTGTTTTAAATTACAAAATGGTCATTCTAAGAGAATGATTCACAGATAATAAATAAAGTCAAAACTATAGAAACAAAAACATTTCTATAAAGCAAATTTTTTACCAAATCAAATGAAAAATGAATGGAAGAAGCTGACAGAGTTGTTCTGCCACTGATTATTTTTTTTTCTGTTCTGTCATTATTTTTCAGCCTCTGTGCTTCAGCAGCAAACATTATCAGAGATCCAACCCATTTAGTTCTGTTTAACCCCCAGTGGTCACACGCTAGTGATACAGCAGGTCTACCTGTTAGATCAGTTTGCATTAGCAAGTTCTGGGTGTGAGCATCGCCGAGGGAACTCATTCTTTCTGTTACAGCTGCAAAGACAAAAAACAACGAAGTTTAATCTGAAGAAAAAACAGATGTTTATAAATGTGTTCAACCTTCAAGTAAAAGTAAGTTTAATCAAAGCCAGCTGTTGAGCTGTAGAAAGGGGTTGATTCTCACATGAGACTTTGAATAAATGTCATAATTATTTGGGTGAATAGAACATGTCTTCCTTCATTGAAAACACTGTATATGTACAAATTTTACTCATTCACATTTGGTGTAGCTTGCTAAGTAATAACAAATAGCAAATATATTAAAAAAAGGGTTAAACCACCTTATATTTAACTATTTTCCAACACAGCATAAATAAAAGACTGTATTATTTACTCCAATGCTCCAATGAACCCTGCAGTCAATCAAAACAATTACAGCCAGTTGGAGAAAACAATCAAATGTTATAAATAAACCCTGAGAAAAAGTATATTTAGTTGAGAATGATTATTTTTAATCCCAAACACTCCCTAATTGGACAAACAACTCCTCTCCCTTAGACACCTTGTATGAAGCTCTAAGCAAAATAAATATAATTTCCAGTCAACTTAATAGCCGAATAAAACGATTATTGAATGAATTGAAAAAGCAATTGTTGCTTTATTGCAATATGATCTCTAATGTATCTGTGTTTTCTAAACAAAGTTAGTTTTTACCCAGAAACCGACAAGAGATACTTTTCATGTGTTATTTTTTTCTTAAATGCCAGTATCTAATTAACAGCTGAGTTCATATTAGTGCATCACAGCCATCTGTGAATAAAACAGTTTTTCTTGTCCTTGGGTTATTTTTGTTATCTGTTAAAATAAAAGCTAAGAAAAGAGAAGGAGTTAATAAATTACCTCTGTTCGTGTCTGTCAGCATGGTTTGTCTACCATTTCCTAAGAAAAAAAAAAATTCAAATGTACACAAAAACTAAAGCACCAAGATAAAAAAGGACAAGTACTCTACCATTGTGGTCAGAAAATTGTGTTCTGTCTGAGGGAGAAAACATTTAAGTCATTAGAGGCAAAAAATGGATAAAGCTAAGTAATGGCTTATTGTTTTTTCTTTTTGTATAAGTTGTTTTTCAATGAAGGTACTACCTGTCTGCTCTTGGTGACCCCCGATGGCACTGCCTAATAAAGATGTTGAGGAAACTTGACATGAAGAGCAAAAATAGGGACTTATTTTAATTTAAGGATGATCTGTGGATTTTGAAAACCAAGATTTCACCTCCACCTACTTATAGAATGGGAGGAACCTGAGAAAGGCCTGGCCATTGGTTGATCAGATCCAGGGCTCAAAGAGGCACCGTGTGATGCTGATTGGTCAATGCTCCCTGCAGAGTGATGATGAGAATCTTCACCACCAGGAGAGATAAAGAAGAATATAGAAAACTCTTAAAATATGTTTTAACCCTGAAATAAAATAGCTGAAGTGGTTAGAAATGTTCTTCTGACGCATGTGGAGGAGGTGCAAGTACCTGCAGGTGAGTCCACCATGATCTGTCCACCAGATGGCACTACTGTCACATCGGTACCAATCCCTAAAGCAGAAACATTGTGAATTATATGTCCTTCCTTCCTTCCTTCCTTCCTTCCTTCCTTCCTTCCTTCCTTCCTTCCTTCCTTCCTTCCTTCCTTCCTTCCTTCCTTCCTTCCTTCCTTCCTTCCTTCCTTCCTTCCTTCCTTTGCTGCCTTTTCTGATCTATAAATGTTAAATAAGGTGAAAATAACTGCTTAATAATGAAACCTGATCTATTCTATAGCTGCTCAGATGATTCTCTGACTAAAAACCAACTAAAGGGAAGAATAAGCTGTACCTGAGAACACATGGTGGGTCGGATGGGTCAAATGAGCTGTTAGAATATAAAGAATAAAAAGTTTCAGATTTTAGTTTCACAGTTTTAGTATCAGCTTATTTGGAGGGAAATTTAACCTGGAATTTCAACATGACCATCTGTACTGAAAACATCCACCAAACCACCACCTAGAAAAAAAGAAAATCCAAATAGTTAAACCAATATAAGATTTATTGCAACTGTGTATTTGAGAAGGAAACTGTAGGAGATAAGAAATTATGGGCAACATATCACACATCAACCAACTATTGCTTTTAAAAAGACTCTAAGAGAGTTGGTGATGAATGAGAGAGAGGGGACTACTTGCAGCTTTATATCGTTTCTGCGGAATATTACACAAATTAGAAATATCCTGTCCAGGGGTGATGCTGAGAAACTAGTCCATGCATTTGTTACTTCAAGGCTGGACTATTGTAATTGTAATTTCGTTAAAGGTCATATCTCTCCTATCCTGGCTTCTCTTCATTGGCTTCCTGTTAAATCCAGAATGGAATTTAAAATCCTCCTTCTCACATATAAAGCCTTAAATGGCCAAGCTCCATCTGATATCAGAAATATGATTGGTCCTTATGTCCCTGACAGAGCACTTCGCTCTCAATCTCAGAATTTCTAAAAGTAGAATGGGAGGCAGATCTTTTAGTTATCAGGCTCCTCTCTTGTAGAACCAACTACCAGTTTTAGTCCATGAGACAGACACCCTGTCTACTTTTAATGTTAGGCTTAACTTTCCATTTTGATAAAGCTTATAGTTAGAGTGACTCATGTTATTCATAGCTACCTCTATAGTTATGCTGCTATAGGCTTAGATTGCTGGAGGACATAGGGACCCCTATTTCTTCATTCTGCTTCATTGTATCTCTATTCTCCCACTGCAGAATGTATTAGTTCAATCTCTAACTTTATGCTCTCTCTGCTTTTTCTAATAGTAGCTCTACTTTGTTTATAGATGTTGGAGATCGGCCTGTTTTTCAGTGTAGCCCTGTTTCTCTGACTGTGACTGGCTGGATGTGCTCTCTTCATCCTCTGACATGGGAGCTGGCTCGGAGCTCGTCGGCCTGGCTGTGTGTTTCCTGGACGGCGCCGCCTTTTACAGCTGCTTTTTGTATCTCTGCTTCTGTCTCCTTGAACTCCAGTCGGTCTCAGCAGATGGCCACTCACACTAAGCCTGGTTCTGCTGGAGGTTTCTTCCTGTTAAAAGGGAGTTTTTTCCTCTCCACTGTCGCTACAAGTATGCTTAGTGTGAAGGATTGCATTCGAATCAATGAGTCGATGCAATTAACTGGTTTTCCTTTGATAGAAAACTTTGAATCAATTGATTGTATGATCTGGTGAACTGTAAAGTGCCTTGAGATGACATGTGTTGTGAATTGGCGCTATAGAAATAAACTGAATTGAATTGAAAGTTAGACATCTTTTCAGTTAGCCATCTTACAAGATGATCAACTGAATGATGCTGCCACTGTATAAACACATTTAGACATCACCCTCTAAATGATTATCTGTGTCAATGAAATATCAAAAAAATTATTTAAACTTTTGTTTTTTAGGACATAATTTTGTTTTCATTTTGCAGACAAAACACAACAAAAAAATGAAGCTAAAACAAGAGCAACACAGTAACTCACCCATAAGGTTGTGCAGGTAGTCATGACTGGATGGATCAATGATTCCTGATGGAGCAGAATAAGTTTTAGGTGCAGGTTTTATGCAAATATTTATATAAAAACCCCCAACAATTTTCTGAAAATAGGAAAATATTAAGTTTTTTGTTTTATTTTTACATTTTTAATGCACCTTAATATAATTAGATAGACCAGACAACTTGAGTATTTATGTACATTAGATTTTGTTTTGTTTTTTCCAAAATCAGTTCTACAAGTTTATAGAAACTATCTGATCTGCATTTTCTGAACTCTTAAGTTGTTGATTTTTATATACTTATTTTTAACAAAAATACAAATGGATATAGGACTGATTATTGAACATTTAAAAATAATAACTAATTATACCAACAAAAGATAAGTATACTATGACTACTTATACTACTAATATTATTATTGATCTAAGGGTATGATGCCGGTTATATTTTTCTAACGATGAACGTTAATAGGTTCATACAAAAATGGTTGAACATCAGCAAAAGAATTTAAATCACATTTAGATCTGGATGATAAGTTTTTGTGTGCGCTAAGGCCTAAAATTTCTTCCTGACAGGTTTGAGTCATTCCTATTTATCATTAAACTTTATAAGTAGAAGTAGTCACACAATGTGGACCTTAGAAAAGTGTATAAAAACAGATAAGAAAATAAAACAAATAGAGTTTTGTACTGTACAGTGATTTTACAATATAATAATACACAAAACAAAAGATTAGCCCCATCTGATTGAAGCCTGTTAAAATTTCCTTGATATTAAAATAATTTCCATTTATCCCTCTGCTCACCGGTCTGACTTTCGACTCCAGCCCCAGCTCCTCCACCGTTCAGCAGCTTCTGCCCATTACCTGTAAATAACAGTTTGCTGTAAGTGACTCCATTGATTTTTAAGGGAATAAATCAGGATTTACAAGCTTTAAAACATTCTTTGATTGTCCTGATGTTTAGCTCCATGTTCCTTTTTGAAAACAAACTACCTGTGTATGTTGTCGGTTATATCACATGGTACACTATGTTTTAAAGTAATTTTTAGATAAATTCACCATTGGATTCTGAGTCTACACCATCTGGACCTGCAGACACAGACAAGGCTTTTATATCAGAGGTTTATAAGTGGAAAAGTTAATCAGTCAGTTATGTACTGCACTGGAGGCCCATGTAATGATCCAAGGGGGTAGAAGAGTAGTAGGATAAAAAAACACAACAACAACAATTTATTGACTTTTAAGTTCGATTTACTTGTTTAAGATGCTTTATTGTTCCCTCTTTCCATTATGCTGGAATTTAGACATAGGGACGCCAAACGTGAAATACTGATAATGTTGTCTGAATACAGCTTAGCCATTCCTTTCCCCTCCTTAGCTTTCTCTGCAGCTGATCATCCTTTACATTTCTTTTCTAAACTGACTGGTTGAATTGTTCCACTATGGCCAAAGATTGACCCTGAACCAAACAGCTCCTGTTGTGTAACTGCACCAAAAGATGAAATGACAAATAATAACTTTAGACAAATTACCGTTCACGTCTGTTCTAGATGAACTTGGTAGGCGTTCAGCTCCTAAAAAACAAAAGTGACTTCCATTGAACAGTTCCATTTGATCAACACCAGTAGATTTACCCGTATGACCCAGGATTCTACCAGATACTGTATATCTCTTGATTACCTGCTGAATGAGTTTGACCTGCAGAAACACCAGAGATTTCAGCAGGTACAGAACCTGGCGATCCTCCCAACTCCACAAAACCTGCAGAACCTACAGAACCCAGAGATCCTCCAGAATCTACAGGGCCTGCAGAATCTACAGAGCCTGCAAATCCCATGGAGCCTACAGAGCCTTGTGAACCTGCAGATCCTGCTGGGCCCAAAAAACTTACAGATCCTGCAGAACCTACAGAGGCTGCAGAACCCATGGAATCTACAGACCCTGGTGAACCTGCAGATCCTGCTGGGCCCAAAAAACTTACAGATCCTGTAGACCCTACAGAGGCTGCAGAACCCATGGAACCTTCAGAACCTGGAGATACTGCAGAGCCTGAGAGATCAAGATCAGAACAATAACAGGTTATGGGTGGAGGTTTTCTTGTCTAAACCCTGAATTAAAGCACATCACATTTTCAACCACATTCAGAGTCAGACTGGAGGAAACATACTTAAAGCTGGAGTTATGAAATGAATCAGTGGAATTATTGTTATTTGTACCTGAGGAGCTGTTTGGAGGTCCAGCTGCTGTATTGATAATAAAAGAAAATAAAAAAGAGTTAATTAAAATTTAACCAAAGATGCCTAGACTGCAGAAGGTTTTTCATCATATGTTTCAGTCAGTGATAGAAATATATCTTTTAACATTGCTGTTTGAAACACTAACCTATAGTGAGTGAACATTTCTATTATTCTAATGACTAAAGAACCACAAAGTAAAAAAAAAGAAAAAGAAAAGAAATCACCTGCTAACTGGACAGGGGAGAGATCAACTCCTTGACCTAAGAAACAAGAAAAAGACTTTTAGGTTGAAAATATATGAGAACATTCTAAGCTTATTCTCAAACCTATCCTTAAAAACACTGAATAGAGTTCAATTTCAAGAGAAATAAAGTTGATCATAAAAATGTATATTTGCATAAATGCTAAAATAGCAGCTATTCATGAGTTAAACTACAAACCTGACATAAACTAAAAAAAAAACAAAAAAAAAACAACAACATACAAACCAATCATGCATAAACAAGGAATCATGTCATAACTAAACAGAAACCAATAAAAATAACTAAACACTAACCTTAGCCAAAAAAATAAAATCAATTAATGAATTCAATCCTCACCAAATGTTAACTGAACAGCTATCCAACCAACAATTAAACAGATAAACATGATCTTCAGTCACCAGTTAAATACTGATCTCTCAAAACCAAACTGTAAATCAACATCAAAAAAAAAAATCACTTAATATCCAAAACCAACCATTGATCCTCCAAAAGTAATCTACCACATTTTAGGCTTACAAAAACCCAACAAATCTCTCACCCACATCAAACAAAAACAACAAAATACAATAAAATATTGACCAAAGACCAGAATTAACCCAACTCAAACAGGAGACATCAAACAATACTGAAAGGTTAATTTTAAAATAAACTTAAAATCCGTGACCAGCCAGTACTAACCCAAGACTTAGCACGACTTCATTTAAACTGTTGAGCAAATAGAAACATTGTAATAATCAAACTTAAGATTAAATAAAAATAAATTAACAACAGAAATGTTACTAAGCAACCGTGTATTCCAGGCAAACCATTATATATCCCCCATAACCCAAAGGGAGAAAAGAAAAACACATTTAGTCACATTTTAAAAAGTTCCCTTCAAATAAGGTGACCAACAAAACCAAACTACCAAACCAGTGACTTCTGGCAATATCCACATCCTCTTCAGCAACACAAAAAATTCTTGATAAATCAGATCGGATGATCTAAAAAATCTGCAGCTCAACATATATTCAGTTATTGTTAATTAGTAGAAACATTCTAATGAATTTTCTCAAGCTTTTTATTTTAATTTTAATTTTATCAAAGCAACATAAATCACAGCACAGGAGACATTTACACAGTTAATTTACCAACCCAAAAGCCTCCCTCCCCTCACACCCTCACTCATTCACATCCATTCACCCACATTGAATGAATTCATTCGTCCACAAATTACATTTTCAGAATAAACATTTGAAAACTTCCAATTTGTTTTTATGTTTTCTGGCCTTATTATTGGGTTCAACTGTATAATTATCTGAAGTTAAAAATAATGACTAAATGTTTTAAAGAAATTAATACTGAAAATCTATTCTTGACTTTAAAGATGCACCTTTTACCGAATACAATGATTAAATTAACTAAGTTGTGAATGTCGATAAACTCTCCTAGTAAAACAGAAACCACATCAAGCTTCATAGACAGACTAATCCTTAAACACATTTTTTCAACTTCATAAGCTTGTTTACCTGTAGAGCTTCCTGCAGCTCCAACATGGGGTCCCGCCTCTAGAGCCTGGCCACTCAAAGCTGACAACAACAACAAATTAATAATAGTCCCATTAGTATTTAGACATAAAGTACTGAATTCTGAGTAAGACACACAATTAATAAATAAACTTTTATTTTGTAGTATTTCAGTAAAGAAATTAATCTTTAAAGTAGTGAAAAAACGTTTGTAGATCTGTTTGAGTCTAAGTCAAATTTTAATCATGTCATGTATATATGCAAACTCAATACTATTAAGCCCCTCTGAATGTGTGTTTAGAAGTAGATTTAACTTGTGAAGATGGCTTAGATACTGTTTAGCTTTTAGTTATAACTTTAGTTAAAGCTTCTTAGAAAAGTCCTAAAAACATTTTTAAAAAATTAGCGGTTATTCAGTAAATCAAACATATGTTCAAATTGGAAGCAATATTCTGAGTAATAATTGAATCCTTAAAAAGTGTAAATTGAGCCTCTGCTAGAATCAGAATAACAAACCTTACATGAGTCAGAGGAAGTAATTTAGTAATATGGCTGCGTACCCAGGGCGCTCTCCTGATGGGGGTTAAAAACCCTCAAAGGACACCCTCCAAATACTTTTTTACATGTTTAAAGGACACTCTGCGACCCCTTGTGGTGTACTAATTGAATGCATTGTAACAGGATCTGGCTTCAGCTCTCTGCTGGTTGATTAAAGACTTTTCTAGATATTCCTAAATGAATTTAGGTAATTTAATCATCTTTGCTTTGAAGGTCTAAACTCCTTGGAGTGATAAGACTGAAACTAGATTGTTTGTTTGCTAAATGCAGTTAATCAATATTCTTTGATTTAGTTAATTTGTGAACGCAAAGAGGACATATTTAATGTTTTTTTTTTTCACATTAGACCAACTATAACATAAGATCATGTCTATTTTGTTTGTTTGCTTTTGTTTTGGGTCACATGTTCTTATACAACAACCAAAAACCTATGTAGATTAGTGGGACTAATTGAGCACCCCAAAATAAAGGCAATTTCTGAGGTTGAAAGGAAGTAATTCATAATTTTCAGAGGTTTTGATACATTCAAATCTAAAAAGTGTATTATGTGTATGTAATTCTCTCTACAATTTAACTTTCTGCAAATCCAATAGTATTAGCTCTATTGTTGTTTAGTATATCTCCACCAGATGCCCAGATATAGAGATATAAAAATAGCTTGTTCTCTTGGCAAGACAGACCAAATTCAGTCAAAATGAATGGAAAACAATTAGCAATTTACAATTATATTAGCTAAATACTAATGCTTAAAAAAACATTTAGTGTAATTTTCCACTAATTTGCTTTTATTGTGCACTACTTTACGCTGGTGTATTTCTAAAACTCCCAGAATAAAAGGTTTGTAGTTGCATTGTTAAAGGCTACAATCAACAAAATTTTAACAGTTTCTAGATTTTAGATTATAATTAAAACATTTGATTTTCCTTGTGCTTTTATATGTCATGCAGGTTTCTATTATAGTGTACATTTATTGGTAAATACTCTTCCCTGTACTACACACCTTTTTCAGCAGATGGTGCCGAATCCCTAACAACAGCATCCTGTGACAATAGTGCCACTATCTTTAGGAAGTGGACTGGACTAACTCAAATTAATCCTGGGTAGAATACCAGCAGGTTAATCTGGATTAAATATGAGCCCAAACTGGAAACAAGCACGCTTTTCAGGAGGGAATAACTTGATTAGGGCTGACTCACCTGAACCTCCGGCTGCTGGAGCTGACATGGTGGTCTTCTGAGCTCCGAGAGCTCCTGCAGGAAGGAAGATGAGGATCAGATTTTCACCATGAATAAACCTTGTGTTTCCATCAGGTAAAGGAAAGACTATTTAAAAAAAAAAAAAGATCTGTGGCGTTAAAGTCTGTAAAGGATTCCTGCAGATAAACTTTGGATTTAAGGTATGAATTGATCAAATATTCATGAAAGGCATGGTCATTTTCTGGAGGCAGAGAAAGTTATTACTGTCTTTACTAAAAGTGCTATTCCAAAGAAACAAATGTGGTTTAAAGGTTTAAATTATTCTAAAGGTTGGTTAGAAAATCAGGAAAAAGCCTTGAATCTTGATTAAATGATTTGGTGAAAAAGGGAGATCTGAGATTTAAATTTAGAATTTAGATTAATTTATTTATGCAGGTTTATATGTAAAGGTCATAACGTTTTAGCTGCTCACCATCAAAATTATCCTGACTCTTGGAGTCATCATCATCATCTGAAAAGGAAGACAAATCCAACATTTATTTCTCTAATTTAAAAAAAAAGGTTTAACTTCTATTTTATAGATGCAGAGGGGAAACATGTCAGTAAAGTCTCTTTGCATTAGGATTGTTGTTGAAATATTTACTTCTTTGTGTTCCTTTTAAACCTACCGTAGTTGAATAAAAACAAAAAAAAATGTAAATCAATATGAGTTAATTGTCATGCTTTTACTCTGCTTATTTGATACACCCCGAGTTTCTGATTATTGGCTGCTAAATTATGACCTTTTCTTCTGTTTAATAAAGCAAAGTCTATTCTAATTAAATCATCCTAAGTAGACAGTTTATGGGTATATAATGACTGTTATTGTAACATCTGAGTTACATTCAGATTTAACTATAACTGTATAACTTTGTGGTGATGTCAAGCATGTCACTAGAGACACAGCCATGTTTATCAATATGAAATATAGCTGCTTATTAAGCTCAATATCTGTTAGATTAAAAGTACATTTTAATTACAATATTCCTTAAAGGTATGACACAGTATTCTTTGAAGCTTACATTACTGTATTAAATGTTTTATTATTTATTTTTATATTATTAATTTGATGTAATACTTTTATTAGCTGTTTGCAGAAAATCACCTTAATTAAAAGCAGCAAACAATTAAGAGCATCCGTTTGCGTATTATTTATTTGTAAGTTATACATCATGTTTCACCTAGAAAACTGAGTTACTGATATAGATTAAATTATTAATAAATTCTAATTTACTGAATCGGGCTGTAAATAACTGACGAATAGGCATGGAAGGTGTCCTTAAAGCTTAATGTATCTGAGGTGATAGGGTTGAGAGTCAGGATTAGGGTTTAGGTAAAAAAAGAAAAAATAAATAAAAACAATTGAATATTGGTTATATGCATACAAATGAAACAAAACAAATAAAACTGTTTTTGTTAGAGACTTCATCCATAAAGAAAAAACTAAAATTAAAGCAAAATAGAAAAAGAGAAAATATCACAGTTCAAACGCTCTCCAGAATCTGACTGCATGTTGGCAGTGGGTGCCTTTGCAAAAATATCTTTTTATCAATAAGCAGCCACGTCTTTGAAAGGCGGCACAGTTAAGGGGTTTTCTCTGTTAGGATGTGACTTCTGATCCCCGTCTGCCATAATGAGGCAAATATTTAACCTAAAGATTTACCATCTTGATCTGCTGAAGATGTTATATTGGTTAAACTGTAATAGGCATTAAATAAAAAAACACATTATTATTAAGGTTCCTGTTTAAACATGTCATAAATCCACCTGTTGGTAAAATTACTCTTCGATTCCTGCATCATATCAGAAAGACATTTTGTTTTATACTGTTACAATAGAATTAATCTCTAAGTAATATTCTGCCTATAGTAGATCTACTACCACAATTTATTTATCCCCTTCTGGAATAAACTTTCCTCTGTTTAACAAAATAGAAAATATATAGACTTCAACAATCAAATATAACGTGAATCTTTGAAAGATATTTTCTTTGTCATTCTAATATGTTGCGCTGTCTTCCTCCTCTCAACAAAGTCTTCAATTTACCAAATGTCTAACCAACTATTGGAACAAAAGGCTCTAATAGTCAATCTCTATGATCCACAGAAGTCTATATAAAGACATTTCTTGCTAATGTGATTAAAATAACGACAGTCAGAAAATAATAGTGGCCTGTTGTCAGAGTTAACCTGGCAGCGATGTCAATGCAGTTAAAGATTATCGGATATTTAGTCACACAGTTTGATCATGAAGTGAGGATTATGCTCTAAATAAAGCTCTCAGCATATTTAATGTTTATGTTTAGTGATCATCCTCCACTATGCAGTTTAAAGGAAGATTCAATTTGAGCTTTTTTGTTCTTTAGGGAAAATACTTTGGGTTTTGTTGTTTTCTTTTCTAACACAGAGGCCTACCCTCCTCCTCCTCAGACACCTCCCCCTCCAACATCTCAGTGGCCTCCGTTTCCACCTCCTCCACCTCCTTCTCTGGAAGACACAACACAAGCTATCATCTTCAAAGGCCAAGAAAAACTTTTTCTTTTATATGAATTAGTTAAATAAAATCTAATTTTCTTTTTTTACCCTCCACAGGCGCAGTAGATGCCGTAGTGGCCAGAAGGATGACGATCGACACAATCAGTAGGTTTCTGTTTCATAAAACGCATTTATGGAGCATTCATTGATGTGTAATAATACAGATTTTTACAGAAATATGAAACTTCATAACAAATAAAGAAATTACAGCAATTATCCACATTATTATTATAAAATGTCCCCTTAAATGTATAATAAATCAATACAGTCTAAGCTTAAAGATGTTTAATAGTCTACGGAAACCACACAGTTTTAAACACAAAACTTGGCTTAATTGGACAAATTAAAAATAATAAATTACACTAAAAACAGAATAATTATAATACAACGCCAAAATACAGCTGTTTTTAATTATGTCCTATAATTAATATACTAGATTTAAAAATGTATAAAATAAAATAAGGTTTCACTGACTCAAATACATCATAGTTTTTTTAGTTGTTGCCGAAATATCTGCAAAAGTAGAAAAGTATAACTAAGAAGAAACAGTACAGTTCATATGATATAGAAATTGAAGTTTAATTCCTTCTCTATGCACTGAACGTATCTAGATGAATTGTATACTGTTTACAAAAAACACATTATCCAGGTTGAACATGTAGTTTTGAAATGTATCTTTAAAATGTTTTTTTTTTTTCAAAAAATCTTTCCATACTAATGATGGAAACTTTACAAAGCATTAGAGGGATCAATACATCCAGGAAATAACAATATGATATCGGTTGATAAAAGCAATACGGTTCCAATCAAAAGCATTGTACATCAAATGAATAAATCTCAGTATAATCAGCCTTTACTCACGGTGGCAACATGCTGCTTTCTGGTGGTTTTTCTCCTGGACTAAAGAGATGAAGCTGAAGAGCTGGAGCCCCTCCTTCAAACCTTTACATTTATACACAGACACAGAGGGGAGGGGCTGCTCATGCGGCCCCTAAAAACTACAAACTTCTTTTCCACAGGAAATTACTACCCCAGAAAATGGCTGCATAACAAAAAAATCCATCTACTTTCTCATCCTGCCACTTTTCCTCCGTGTGTGTTGCTTTTCCAGTCCAGATTTTATCCAAGCTGAACTAAGGGGTTTCCCATCATGCATCAGGTTAGGGGCAGGGTTCACCTGGACAGGTGACCACTAACAATCAGAAGCAGGAGATGAGGAACTATTAGCAGGCAGGCTAATGTGTTATTTTCTGTTTACAATAGGCAAAAATGTTTCTCAAGGATCTGCAGTGATGAGGCTGAAGTATTTCTCCATTACCCCCAAAATGACTGTATTAAGGCCCCGATTCCAGTTCAGTCTACTCTTCTGTTTTACTCTGAATTAAAGGAAACAAAAAACATAATGGTTCTCCAAAAGCAAAGATTTTACTTCTTTACACTTTATTCTTTAGAGTTCTGACTTTACTGTCAAAACTTTGACATTTCAGAGAAAACAGTTTAAGGCAGCAAGAGGGTATTGATTACCGACTTTGATCAGAGTCAATTTTAGTTAATCTCACTATCTGCTTAGTTTAAATAATGGAAATTCCTCATTAATCTTGAATCTACCAACACATTTAATGGGTTACAATGTTACTGAAAAGATAATTTACTGTTGCATTAACTGAAACATATTATAGAGAATAGTTACATACATACTGGCAGGGTCATTTCAACCAATCTTTTTAAAACATTATGGTGATTTGACTATTCATGTAAAATCATTAATTTATTATGTCAGATCAATAAAAACACATTTTGATACAGAGATATGGGTTTAATGAACAACATCAGTAATATCAGTTTTAAGCTTACCAATAAAACAAGTCTCATATTTGCATTTGTGAGATATGATTCAATGAATTCTATTTGCTTAAAATGTATGATTGTACTCAAAGTTTAATTCACATGTGTTCCTCTATAAAAGGTAAGGGGTTTTAAGCAGGCAGGAAAGGAACATTATATGATGTGTCTAAATGAATCCAAATAACTATGCAGCTTATAGCAGCTGCATAGTCTAACCAAGGCATTGTGTCGAGTTATAGATTACCACTAAACTAATCTATGAAGGCATTGGGTCAGAGCAGTGTGTGTATATGTGCATATAAGTCTATATAGCTGTATTCAAAGGAAATTTTTGTGCATTTCTCAAAACTATATACTTGTAAGGATAGTTTGGTTTCTCCATGAAAGCTGAATCCACCTGCAGAAGGTCAGCTGGAGTGACTTTGATTTGATCCAAGGTTGTAATTTCCCTCTGGGATTATTAAAGTACGTCTGATTCTGATGATTCTGATTCTGAATCAGTCAAATGGGGGGGTTGTAGCAACAAAATAAAACACAAAGCTTTTCCAAAACTTTTTCTTAAATTGAAATTACCTGTATTAAGATCTGAGCTCAAATAACACTGAGGGATTGTTGGTAAAAGCAAAAACTAAATTTGTATGCCATCCTTTAGGTATATAGTTTAAAAAATGCATTGTTTAAAGGCCCAAAATGTAACTAAGAAGGTATTGGATTTGCTATCTATGTATCTTTGCCTATAAGGTAAGTTATTATACACCACAAAAGCACAGACACAAGTTAGCAGAGTGTTTACAAGATTCTGCTCAGAAAATAGCATAAACTGAGTATTAGTAATTTGTGTAAATAACACATCTAATAGGAACATTATAAATGCACTGATGTAATGATCAAATACAGGGGGAGGAAAGGCTATCAGTCAGCCTGAAAGCAACTGTGACAAACTGTCCTGCAGCTCTGCAGCAATTAGTAAAGCAGTGCTTTACAAAAACAGTTTACAGTGGGAGTGGAGAGCTTCTGGCTTTGACGGAAGACCTCTTCGGATAGTGGAAGGAATACTTTTAAGAATTGCTTTGCCCAGCTGCCGTCCCTGGTGGAAGCAGGGACTGGCTGCTCAGGGATGGACATGTTCATTGTCAAAGACTTCAAGGTTGGATGATATCATCCCTGGGGACAGTTTCACTGGACTGGCAGACTGTGGTGGTGGTTGCCCTTCATAAGAAGTGGGACCTAAGGGTTTGTTTTTACTAAAGGGGGATCACATTTTTCAGCCTCCTCTATGTCAGGGTTCACGGGAGGAAAGTCCATTGTGTTCCAGGTAGGTCTCACTGAGAGGAAGCCCATGGGACGCCCCAGACAATCTGCAGGGACTATGTCTTTGCTCCAGCCAATCAACCTGGGGCACCACTTCTCTAAAGCCAATCTTTCAAGATCTGCTCCTGGCCGAGCTTCTCTCTCCTTAGCGAAAGCAAACTTTAACCCACCTCCAACCCATCTCTTCCCTCATTCTCAGTCCCACTCACCCTCTGACCAGTGTCCGGGTCCCGGGGGGAGGCTACTCTAATCCTTTTTCAAGGTAGCTCATCCAAGCAAATGTTGATTCACAGCATCAAAGTCTTCTGCCGGGCCTGAGCCCTGAATAACTAATTTCATTCATGTCATTATCTGCTCTCATCTTCTTGAACCCCAGTTGGCCTCCGCAGATGGCCGCTCTCACCAAGCCTGGTTCTACTGGAGGTTTCTTCCTGCTAAAATTGAGTTTTTCCTCTCCACTGTGGCTACATGCATGCTCAGTGCAAGGGATTTCATAGAGTCAATGAGTCCTTGCTATCAGCCAGTTTTCCTTAGATAGACATTTTGAAGAATCTGACTGTGTTACTTCTATAAATAAATTGAATAATAATTTTTTAATTGAAGATTTTCTCTATGTGAGTCTCTAGGTTCAATTTATATAAAGTGATAAACTTTAAGTCACTGTTTTTTTTTTAAGTCTCTTTAACATCACCTTGAGATTCTCTGTTAGATTCAGGACTTTAGTTGGGTCACACCAAAACATGGGTCATATTATAACATTACTCCAAACCTAAATCTACAAGGGGTCTGAATAATTTGGGGGAAGTGTTGAGCAAGACCCTTAACCCCTGATTGTTCCCCAGACGCCGCACAGTGGCAGCCCACTGCTGCCAAGGGGAAGGGTTAAGATGCAGAGGTGAATTTATCCATTGTGAGATCAATAAAGTTCAATAAATGAAATCTGGAAAGTGAAAAAAAATGTAGTTATATGAGTTTTTATTATTTTTTTTTTTGCATGAAATTGTGATTTTCTATTTTTGTACAGATACATATAACTGCCTTCTGTTTCAAGAACTTGTAGTTTTATCTTTCATCTAGATATAAAATTAACTTCTTGAAACAAATATTTGGCTGTTGTAAACAGCAAGGAAACTAAACAATACCTTTGACTCCTTATTTTTCTGAATTTCGGACTATAAGTGGAATATTCTGTGTTGTTTGAAGGCAGATGATCTCCTGGGAATAATCTGATAAAGTGAGGCTGTTCAATGTTAACTATCAGCCAGTGGAGGGCATAGCTAACCCGCAGATCAACATGCAAACAAAGAACATCCTTACATGCATTAAAACATTTATAATTCAGCACAAACAAATGAAAACACGGTCACAACATATCTCATAATGTGGATAGTTTCAATATTAAGGAGCAAAGAATTCATTCAGATAGCAACCTGTGCGTACATATAACATTCCTTCCTCTTGTGCTCTCCTGTCTGGCCTCCAGTCAGCTTGACTTGATCGTGTTTCATTTGTAATTAACTTCTTGGTTGGAACAGACGTTTATTGTCCAGGTGAAAGATAAAACTTTGCCTTAAATCCAGACACTTGAATAGGAAAACAGATAGAACCCAGAGATTTATGCAGATCTGAATCTTTTCGGTTTTACAGTGATGAAGACTATTTAAAGATTAATATTATTGTTTGTTCAACTAAACTAAATAGGATAGTTTTCTGTATTACATGTGCTCTCGACAATTATAAAACCATGGGCCTGTATATTTATATATATATATATATATATGTATATGTTTATGTATATAAAAATATAATATAATATAATATAATATAATATAATATAATATAATATTATATTATATTATATAATATAATACAATACAATACAATACAATACAATACAATACAATACAATACAATATAATATAATATAATATAATATGATATAATATAATATGAAAGATTAGAGTAAATAGAATAGAATAGAATAGAATAGAATAGAATAGAATAAAACAGAAAACCCCTTTATTTTCCCACAATGGGGAAATTCTGGTGTTTACAGCAGCTCAAAGTTTATAGAAAAAATTGTAACACAAATATGGACCTTAAAAATGTATGAGAACATAGTGAAGAGTTAAAAAGATATACAATAAAATACTGCAAAGTGTTTTAACAATATAAAAACTCTGCATATACAGCTATGGAAATGTTTACACTAATAGATATTTGAAATTAGCAGCAACATCAGAAATGTACAAAATGACAACAGCATGTTATTTAACTGACTAAGGTAGAAACTGTGCAAAATCAGCCTAAATGCCTGGATGAAAGATTTTTTGGGAAGAGTGGTGGTTATAGAGTCTTACAGCTGCTGGGAGGAAGGACCTGTGTTAATGTTCCGTGGTGCATTTAGAGTGCAAACGTCTGTCACTGAAGGAGCTATCCAGTTCTGCAACAGCTTCATGCATGGGGTGGGAGACATTATCCAACAAAGATCATGCACCCCATTCATGAAACTGGAAAATAAGATGGAAAAGGAAAATAAGTCAATAAGTCAAAAGACTAATATGCAGGTAGACCATCATTACAAAAAAGTTTTGTCATAGTTGTCACTCAACACTCATTGAAAGAAAAAGAAGAAAGAGTATTAAACAAAAAGAAAAAAAGAAAAAGACAAAAAGAGGAAGACAAAAAGAAAAATACAAAAAAAAAAACAAGATGTGTCTTCTACACAGATGAATGTTGTCTCTTATAACATCTCAAGGAGAAAAGGGGAAGAATAAAGACTTGCGTGTCAAAATTATTACCAATTATTGCTTTCCATATTCAGCTTATTGATTATTTGTAAGGTTCCAAATGGTTATGGTACTGAACTTATACATATATTTATTTTCTGCTCTCAGTTTTTCTCTCAAGGTTTTCCTCAGCTGATCTTTGTGTTGGTTG